AGTTGAATATTTAAACAAGTATGAGAAGTTGAAAGAAAGAAAAGAGAGCGAATGTTTTAAAATGAAAACTGCTGTGTCCACTTTCACACGTATAATTAATTACGTATAAAATCGGAGTATTTTTCATCCATTATTTCGTTGTATGGAAATACACTGGGGGCATTTTTGTGTCCTTAAATCTTAAAATGTTCACAGTGACAGAGTTCAATCACATCATCACCACGAAAGTAAAGAAAAAACTGATAACTGATGTTTGAAGCAACATTTGTGTTGATTCGCGGCCGAACGGACCGTTTGGAATCATCGTACGATTCGGTGATAAGCTCTTCTATCGGGGCGGACATGTTGACTGTGACTGTAGTTTGCCAAAAATTGCAAAATACTCAAACATAAATTGAGAGAGATCAAGAGGGTGAAACTTTGTGAAAGCTTTAAAAAAATAAAACAGAATCAGTTAAATGATGTGTTCATGACAAACTCATGTTCGGATTCAGACGCTGTGTTACGTTGGCAGCAGCTGGTTACCTGCAGCAGACAGTATCCGCAGCGCCGCAGCCGAGGGGTTGAAGTCTGAGGAATCATTGATTCCATTTCCTCGTTTGACCCCTCCACCGCCTGCGGGACATAAAGCAATGTGGCTCACACGTGCACAAACAGGTGCACACACACACGTACACACGGGCGATGCCGGGAGGAGGTCGTTGATATCAGAGAAACGTGACTCTACAGATACGTTCAGCTGCTGAACGGAAACTGAAGCAGGTGGATGGTGGTTTAGATCAGTCACGTACTAATTGACACATAATAAAAGTAATAAAGAAACATTTGATCAATGATTGAACATAATCATATGTACATGTATTATATACACGTAAGATGATTTTTCATCTGCTCGGTGAAGCGACGCAGGTCGTTCGTTAGTTTATCGTACCATCACAGCGTCAGTGAGAACGAAGCCAGGGTCCATTAGAGAAACGGCGAAGTATAAGAGCACCGACATCACGACCAGGAAGAAGAAGAGAAGCGGCAGCAGCAGCTCTCCTCGCTCCTCACACCTCCGCAAATCTAAAAACACACACACACACACAGGATTATGTTTTGGACACAGCTTCTGCTGCCTCCATGTCAAATGAAATCAAAGCTAGAGATGGACGATGACATTAAGTGGAGACAGACTGAGGAGATCTAAACATTATGGTGACCTGTAACACATTGACTATTTTTATTACTTTTGATACGGAGCAGGAGAGACTTTGTTTTGCTCTGTGGTAAAATAGGTTCAGGGCCACTTTAATATCTGAAGTTACAAACAGTCCCGGTGTTATTGTGTAATTTCTATCGGTCTTTATTTGAGATTAAATTATATTTATCTGAGGCGGCAACACAGAGAAAGTAATGAACAGAAGAACGTGGAGATTAAAAACTTTAAAACTTCATCTTACAACACAAACAGACGAACTTTACAAAAGCTTCAACAATCTGAAGCTTCGTGTGATAATTGAAGCCATAAAACAAAACATAAATATCTGTTCTTTGGTCTAAATGAAACTGAGATGAACTAAACCTACTTTGAGTTTTAATCGTGTCATTTATAAGACGATGATCTATAGAATACACAGCAAATACATAAAGTACGTCAAGTATTCAAGCGAGTGCAAGTATTGCATCGTTGTAATCGAGGTTTACCGGTTTGACCCGGTTTGAAGGAACGTACCGGTGTCGTGCAGGAACAGGATGAGGGTCGTGACCCAGGTGAGCAGCGTGTGAGCGGCCCGGACCAGGAACCCGGTCCGGAACAAGCTCTGGACCATTTCAGCGACATGAACGACGGCGTCCTCTCGTTAGCACCGCGGCTAGCTGCTGGCTAGCTGCTGGCTAGCTCTGTAGCATCGTTTAGCTGTCGTTTAGCAACGCAGCAAAGGTGGTGGGGGGGAAATAAAAACACGATTAGTTGAATAATGAAAGTCACCGTGGAGACAGTTACACAGGTATTCGCGTATTTCAGTGACTTTTAAAAAAAAACAAAACAAATCGCGGTTCGATGTGTCGCTGCCACTTCCGTGTTATGGTACGAGAACCAGCGAGGGACAAACTGAGAGTCACGAAAAGCGAAGGAGAAACTCGAACGACCTATAGAATATATGTTGTGCTCCTGCGTCACTGTTACGTAACCTCACTTTACTCTCTCTGACTAATCTGCTGAGCAAATATAAGTACTAGTTATAATCCCCATCATTTCATTATGTCATACTAACTCAAGGTCACAACGTACTCATACAATTCCACTCAAATAATAATAATAATAATAATAATAATGTGTCCGGCGTGTTACATAACTCCGTCATGTTTTAAACATGTATTCTAAAGTACAGTGAGTTAATCTGTACCAGGACCAGTTCTGTTCTCTGAGTTATTTCCCCTTCAGCTCGTTAACATTTCACTTGTTGTGAGTAAACCATTGTGGGAACGACCACTGTCACCAGAAGACTGGTCTGGAATCGTTTCAGAAATATTTGAATCTTTGCCTGTAGATAATACGACCAGGATTGTAAACTCCCTTGGGTGTACTTACAACAACAACTGTAGAATGGTATATGGTGAAAATGTATATTAAGAGGACTGGAAGGATCATTAAGTAGAATATATGGGCTCCCAAGTTTGTTACATTAAAGTCCACGATCCTCGGACAATCATTTCTGTGGATGATTTAAATGCAGGGAAAACTGTAAAGGTGACTTTATTTTGACTGTAAATTAAACTTCAGTGCTTTTTACATTGCATTTATTATTGTTTTAAAGTGGCTGCGGTCTGCGTGGTTCAAATTTAATTTGGCAGTTGGGAGCTTTTTAGATTCATCTTTGACAACGTTCGTCAGAAAGTCCCGCTGCAATTCCTCTTCTGTTTCTAATCACATGCAATGTTACTTGATTTGTACATGAGGAAAACACCCTGTGACATCTGCATTTATTTTCCCAGAAACAGATTAGCAGAACTGGCAGCTGAGAAATGAAGAGTGTTTTATAGGTTGACTAAAAGCTGCTTCTGGCAGATTTTTTCTCTGCTCCTCTGGTCAGTTATCTCTGTGGACAATGATTTGCTGTGTCCTGGTTAGAACATCCAGCCCTCATGTTTATTCAATTTCAAAAGGAATACACCTGACGAGACTTCTGACAAGAATTTGCATTTATTTGCATGAAAATGGTCCATTAAAACACTATAACAAAGACAATTTAAATACCTGGATTGAAGTGACATTGATTCAGAGGCTGTTCCAGCATCGATTAAAGTGCATAACGTTGCTCAACTTCTTCAAGCCCTTGTTTTTCTGAGTATAAATGTGAAACAAGAATCTAGTGTGCTCTTCTTTGTATTAAACAATAATCTGCCCTTCAACCTGAGGTGAACATTAAGACATTTATACTTTTTTTTTTAAAAAAAGGGCACAAACAAATCTACACACATTAACAGACGCAATCTGAAGCTGTTTGAGCAACTAGAAACTTTTAGCTGGTGCAAACAACAGCCACATGAAACGAGCACAAGCTCCAACCTCTGTTTTCAACAGTTCACCAGACAACTACATGTAGTGTTTGAAGTCACGTTAAGGCTGTTGTCTGGTGTTTATTTCCCCCCTAAATTCAGTCGCACTGCGTTTTAAAACTGTTCTCAATTGCACATTTGGCTCTTAAGACAGGAAACCTGAAAGAACCGACTCGCTCTCCAAGAAAATAAAAAAACAATAAATACGGGATGGGTGGAAATAAATACTCTAAAGTCATTCAGAAAGTCACGTCATCGATCCATTCATGCAGGAAAGAGGTGAAGGGAGAGCAAACTCACATGTGCAAAAAATATTTTCATTAAGTGACACTTATTAATGCTCTGCTTGCCTTGAACACTGAACATTCTTTTTAACTTGTTCTGCTGGTGATGCATATTTAAAAAAAGAAACCTACAAAACATCACATCAGAACATGAAAGAAAAGAAAAAGTGGACATTTGGTTCAAAACGGCAAATGGAAGAAAGAGCAAACACATTTGGTCCTTGAGTTACAGCCACTCATGTTCCTCATGTTCCAGCTCGACCATACGACCTCTTAAAACATAAATAGCAGCAGTCACAATCCTGACAACCTGAGCTCACAGAGTCCATATCCTCCACTTCGGCCTTTCCGACGTTCAGTGTCCTTACTTTTCGGACGTCAGCCGACATTCACAGAATGAAATGGCTCCACGAACCCCCAGAGAGACCAGAAGGTCCCCGGGATTCCCTAGCATGAGCCGTGGGAGAGGGGGGGGTGGTGGGGCGCATGTTTGGGTGAGGGTCACATGTCATTTGAGCTTTTAAAGTCACATGATATAGATATGTGGGGTTGGGTTTCAGCGTGATGTCACTCCCAGCTGTGTCTTCAGGTGCTCGTACACGACGTAGCTGATGCTGACGGCGGGGATGACTTTAAGGAAGTTGGGGGCCAGGCCCCTGTAGAGCCCAGTCGGACCCTCACTCTGCAGGATCTGCCTGAAGAGACCCGTCATGGTCACGTTCTGGCTTCCCTCTGTCGCTGCTGTAAAATATAATGAAAGTCACGTTATATTAATATAATGAATATATTAGTATTTATACAGATGAACCAGTCCTTTCAGGAGCGAAGGTCTCACCTTGTGCTTGCATGCGGGTTCGGATCAGAGCCAGGGGATAACTGGCGAGCTGACCGCAGGTGCTGGACACGGTGCCGCAGCCGAGGAGGACGAAGACGCCGGGATCTGAGCGGTTGGCGCCGTACTTCTGCATGTAGCTGTTCTTCAGCGTCTGAGGAAAAACAAGATGGGGAAATGGTTTGATGTGTGTTCGGCTGCGGTTGCTTTCCGTGTGTGTTTATCAGGTCGTGTTATGTAAACCAGTCAAGTGACAATCGGCTGTGTGTCGATCATTAGCAGGGTGATAAAGAAGGAACACAAACATAGACAAGGCAAGAAAGGCACAGAGAGTAAAAGCTACAATCTGAGGAGGGTTATCGAACAGTCAGTGTGTGCTCACCTCATAAACTGCCAGGTCGATGCCTGCGTAGGGGATGATGCCGAGCATGTTGGGGATGTAGCCTTTATAAAACGCACCGAGCCCTTCTCTCCTAAAAATCTGCTTGGCACAGTCAGAGATTCCAGCGTACTGCCCGGTCGTTCTCAGAGCGAGACGGGTTTTCAGGACCTGGAGACAGATTCAGAGAAGAAGATGTCAGTTTAACACGACTGTAGAGTTTTGGAAACAAGGTTCCCTGAGTAGCTGCAGCTACACTGATGCTCACCTCCATGGGGTAGATTGCACTCTGGGCCATCACTCCTGCCAGAGATCCTGCGACAAATCGCTCCAAGATGCTCAGAGTTTGATTATCGCTGCCGATCAAACGTTTAATCTGGAGAGAAATACAGAAAGAGTTAGTGAACAGACGTCGTGGTCCGCGGTTTTAAATCTTACGTGTGAGTTACAGTTCGATTCCGTACCTGCTCGTAAGCCATGAACTTGAGCGCAGACTCGGGGGCAATTTTGATGATGTTCACACCGTTGCCTCGCCACAAAGACCTCATTCCGCCCTCTTTGACCATCTGCGTCAGTCCACCCATGATGCACATGTTGTTGGTTCGAGATCCATAAACCTAAAAAATAAAAATTCATCAGTTAGGTTGAAATATTTGACCATAAACTTGTGTCTGCACCAACAGAGGACTGACTGAACTTACAAGCAGGTGAAATTACAATGGGACACTATATTTTGGGGTCAGTTAGACATGAGGGCCAAGATTTCTTTATCTTAAAGAAAACTAAGTTTACTGGGTCAGGTCTGTTCAATCAACTGAAGGGGCGGCGAGTAAAACATAAAGTTGAAGAATCAATAGGGCTCAAAGTCGACAGGATTGCTCCAAAGTCGACGCTCCACATAGTGAATGACGTAACGAGGGCCACTGACACAGATCCAGAATCTGCACACTTAGACCTTCTGTGCATTGACGATGGTTTAGATTCCACAGAAAAAGGAGTGTCGGCCATTTGTGAGCAGTCATTGGTTACCCAATGTGCCCCCAGGACTCTGAGCCCTCACTGTTACGCACTGTCGGTTAGACATTAACTTATTTATGTCATTCGGGCAACGCACGCTTAAGCAATATCTCCCCACTGTTGATTTGAATCACTTATTGTTCCACCTGTTACTGTAAAGAAAGACCTGCAGGAGAATCTCATTCACGTTACCTTATTTCAAAAATCTGATTCTAAAAGCATAACGTTTAGTCCTGAAGGTTCAGTGGAACAGCTGTCACCGAGGTCAGATGACCCAGAAACTGGTGATAATTCTCTGCTGTTACAAATAGTGAACAAGATAAGAGTTTCCACCCCCCCCCCTAGTTCAGAGCCAATATATTACTCAGCTCCAGATTCCAGTTGATTCAAGTAATCTGACCTTTACACTGGGTTTGGATGTGGGCGTCTTACCTGCATCATGACTTTGACTCGGTCCAGGGGAGCCGTGCAAGTCCTGGAAACGCCTCCAGCTCCTCCACCTGCGACCAGGTGCCTCCACCACATCCCGGTCTGTTTCTCCTCAATGGTGAAATCGTCAGGCACCATCAGGTTGTCACCCACATCGAATATCTGCAGGGAGGAACGACAGGAAGGTTTAGAGACACAGATAACTGCTGAAGACGATAAACCACAGAGGGAGAGGTCATGTGGAATTGTCTTTCTTAACGAGCACCAGTCGGTAACGACATTGGTTTCTTGACAGCACACCATGCGTCACCAGGATCCACGGACACAATATGGGTCAAACTGGGTGGCCTTCACCAGCCACCGTGTGTTTTCACACATACCACAGTATAGGTCAGGGCTTAATTGACCTCAGTGGATAATCACAGACAAACCGTCCGGCTTTGAAATTTGAGCTGTGCAGATTTTAATGCGGCTCTTTGGATGACGAACCCACTGGCCCCCCCTTTTTTTTTGCTTCATCGTTATTATGTAATTTCACTGAGTCAATAACGAGGCTTATCAATGACTCCGTCACAAACGGTGCAGAAACTGCCTCGGGTAGAAAGTGTGGCTTTGGGGCACATTGGCTTTCTGGTGGGAAACGAACCTCTAACCACAGAGAATCTGTTTTCTCCAAATTGAGACAGTACTGCCGCTCACGTTACATTATTATTTTTGCTGCCTTTAGTTTGACCCACTGGCTGATGAAACTCCAGCTCTGCTCTTGGCCCTGGTGCGTCAGTGTCTCATTTACACCAAGCCGTGGCTGTTAGGCTCATTAGATGGCACTAATAACTTGTACAAAACCCAAGATCACAGAGTTCTCCTGGGGGAGCTGTGCTACATAACTTCTGCCTCCACCTACTGCTCCCTTTTACATAACAGCCAGACACACTGGCAAATCCTTCCAACATAATCCTTCCAGAATGGGACCAATTCCTCACATATCCTAATCAAGCTTAATTAGTGACGCACGATGTGTTCTGACACAGTCTTTTAGGGCCGCCGCTTCTCAATTGACCCACAGACAGGAAAGGCGACAACTTACGCATCTGGATTAGTTCCCGATTTAATCAGATGCTTATCAAACTAACGACTACGTGAAACTAGTACATATGAAAATGTTTGCAACAACAGCGGGGGTCAAACCAATGATTCAGCCCTTTGCTGTCTGGGTTCAAACTGTTGGGGCTACGCTGTTCCTACACCTGTTCCCCTTTATGGCTTAAGTTCTGTGTTTTAAACTCACCGTGGAGTGTTTCCAGTAGAGGATGATCTCAGGAATGTTCTCCGTCTTCTCCACCTTCGTGTAGTTGCTCCAGTCTTCACTACTGATTGTTATCATTCCGTTCTTATCCATGCTTAAAAAAAAAAAAAGAACACCAAACTAAGACTCAGACTCTACTTAATACAACCCAAAATTTCAGGAGATGAAACGGATGAATGAAATTACCTTTTAAGGGCCTTCTCTGCATGCTGCAGGGAGATGTGGACTCCCAGGTCGTGGAGGGACTGCATGAACTGTCTACTGTCCACTTGGCCTAAAAAAGGATAAAGGGTGTGAGATAAAAAGCATTTCATACTGAAAGTGAAAAACTGACTCAAATCGGAAGAAACTGAAACAAAACGTCAGCAGCTGCTACATACCAGCATTGTTCCTGTCAACGCTTTTCACCACAAGCTTCATGTCCTTCTCATAGTCTTGCAGATAATGAACAAACTCCTCAAAGTCCAGTTGTCCATCTGGGTCATTTTCTTCCCCTTTAAAGGTTTTCTGTGAGGAAACAAAAGCATACAGGCAATGAGACAAAGCACTGTGGTTGCTCCGGTAAGAGGACAGAGCAGAGTTTTTAATAATAAGATTACTTAATTAATGCAAATAAGCTGTGTGGTATTAATGCTCTACATAGTTGAAGGGAGAGACCAGTTTAGCAAGAAATCTTGCACGTTAAAAAAGGAGTCCAACTCATCGAAACTGTTTTAATAACTGTTATACTGTTTTTGTGATGTGCGGTAACTTCTGAAATGTTCTCCATGTAAAATATGTGGCTAAAAGCCTAATAACTAATAGAGTCCGTCCTGCAGTTCTGAATGTGACACGGTTCCCTTGCTCCTGTTTCACGACCCTACAGGACAGCTTTATGACCCATTTGCCAGGCCACAGCACTCCTGATGTTCTTGAATGACGCATGTCTCTCCGGGGCAGGGGTATTAGGTAGTATCACCCTCGTCTATCTTTGACCTCAACCACAGGCCCACCTGCCAAATGCTCTAATCTCATGTAAGACCGTCAGGCCTCCCGAGCTAAAACAAGACGAGGACACGGGCAGTCCTCCAGCCCAATGGCCAGCGCTGATACCTGACCCGCTGACTCGAGGGCAGGCATATGACAAAGTAATGATACCCTGCACGATGTTCCTGTCCCAACTAAATTATCTGGTAAAATGCAAAACATACCACTTGCAGAAAGGTTATAGGAGAGTGTTTGAAGAAGAGTTTAAATCAGGCTGTTTCTGAACTATAGAAACCTGAGTTGCAGCTGTTCTAAAGACAACAAAAGGTGACACAAGACACTAAATGAAGCGGTCACACTAAAAGTAATGTTCACAGTTCACAAAACCTCAGGGTTTACCACAGCTGAGAGCTAGACATGAAAAATCAGGTCAGCGTCTCAATGACAGATGGAGCATGAGTCAGATTCCAGAGTATTAAGACACGTCTGGATTCAGGGAAGTGCAGCTTTTAATAAGAAACTTTTACACGATAACTGGTGAGAAAGGTTCCAGTCTCGCAAACAGATTTTCTTTGTCACCAGTGAACAAATGTGAGTTTCTGACTTTTAACTGAAGTCTTTAGACATTCAGTGTGCCAAAGAACTGAACGTAGAGATGAAAGAAGAAATAACAGATAATTAAAAAGCAATGACGATCCAAAGCTGCACAACTCAAACATGAACTTCACTTGAGCCAAGTGCACATAAAAAGCATCTATTATAAAAAAAGTATAGTTTGTGCATTTGCATTTAAAATTATTTATCGTTTAAAGATCGTATTAACTTGCTCCGAGGAGACTTTTAAACTTAAGCAGATTCCAGATTGAAATGAATGGCACGTAGCAAAAATTCCTTTTTAGGGTGGAATTCCTCGAATGAATGGCGCCGGTTCACTCAAGTAGAATAAAACTCTGTAAAACTGACTTAATGACGAGAAAATCCATTTCTCTCGGTTGAAACTCTCAGTTAACTTCATGTTGAACTAATATTCAGTTAAAGGTTTTTATCACAAAGTGTTAAATTTCCTCGGAGCGCGTTTTTTTTTTCTGTTCTTCCAGAAGCCGGTCTCCACTGCGGCCTAGTCGTAAGGCTTCTTAGCCCCGGTGCTAACGCGGAGCTAACTCAGCCGGAAGCCGGAAAGAAAGGCTTTAACGCCGGTAACAGCGACGAGATCTCACTGGGGAGCCGGTGACCGGTACTGACCAGCGACTCGCGGCTCGATCCCCCGGTTCTTTTTCTCACCTTTCGCCATCGCTGGTAGGTGGAGAACTCCTGGGACGGCAAGAACACGCTGAGCTTGTTGAAGACGGACTTGAGCTCCGAGGGGAGTCCGTCCGACTCGAAGTATTCCACCTCCACCGGGTCGCAGTTGGACACGGGGACGTACAGACACAGGCCGAGCATGATGGCGCCGGGGGGAGAGACAGAGACGGGGACAAGTAAATAAGTGGCGCCGCGGCTCGAGTCCCTCAGACCGAATGTGAAGCAGCGAGGGGAGAAGCCGGTTAACCATGCCGGCAGGGCACGCCCCTTCCAGGAATACTCGCGCGTCACTGGCTGTCTCGCCGGCCGCGTTGACGTCATTTTACTACCGACCAATCGCTGAGCTCTCCCATTCAACCGGCTTGGCTTGGCGGGTCGGTCACACCCCCCCCCTGCTTACGTAGAGTCGTAGTGTAGGATAGTCGACCAATCCCGTTCCTTGTCTCGTTCCTTACGTCGATGATTGACCAATCGTGTGAGGTCTCTCATTCATAACTGTGGCTGAGGCAAAGATGAAGGGAAGAGTCTGCAAATAAACAAATAAACAACAACAACAGAGAGACCGCGTGATGATGATAATAATAATAATAATAATAATAATAATCTATTAATAGAGTTCAACATGGGACATGCACAGACAGATTATAAAATAAAATACCATGACTTAAGATGATGTAAGTGATAACATGCAAGACAGATTATAAAATAAACAATACCATTAATAACTATAATGATGATGGTATAATTATAATAATATAAGAGGAACATTTTTAAAACCGGCTTCATAATCAACAGAAATAAAGATGCTGTGACGAGGAGAGACATTAAAACTAAAATAAATAAAATACAAATCGTCCGTTTCTGTCTTAAGCTTCAATTGTAAAACAGAATGAAATAAACTACTCGAGAGACAAAACTAAATTAGAAGCAATTATAACAGATTAAAGGGAAGAAGTGCAGTTCATCACTTACCACCAACAACTGTAAACTGAGGCCCTTGGGCAGGTACATGTTTTGCTTCATCGCATTGATTTTTAATTAAAGAAATGTACCTATTCTAACATTAAATGCATGAAAGAGAACTTACATGAAGCCTGATTTATTCACCTCGGGTCAACCTCTCTGCAGCACAGCAGCATTTCAGTTCTCTGCTTTGCCAACTGTGTTGCAACAACCCACACTATTTACCTTATGATTTAATATTTACACATTGTATTCTGTGTACCTTCTGTGTACTACAGAGTTAGATCTGTGCTTGTTAATCCCATGAAAGAAAGAAAACATCATGAGGCTGGACGCACGAGCGCTGTGGAACTAAACTGGGAAATGGACGAGAGCCAAAAGCCAAAGAAGGTGCTAAAGAAACACCAAGAGCTGAACCCCGAGTCCGTCAGCTGATCCTGTCTGGGTTTACATAACACACACACACACACACTTACTTTAGTGTGGAAGAACAGACCTCACTAAAACACATGTGGCTGAACTGGAGCATGATATGTTTTGGTGTCCACATACTTTGGACCAAGCATCAGACTCATTTATGTAATAAAATATCTTCACCTTCACGCTCACACTGGAGGAATTCAGTCTCATCACTGAACTAGCTGAATATTCTGTGGCTGGGATCAAACTTTCATTTGCTCCAGATATCTGTTACTCCAACCACTGATCAATATAATAAATCATTAATCGACTGCCCCTGTTTATATTAATATTTTATATATTATATTCCTGTGTTGCTGCACTGTGGTTGTTTGCCTCCACCACCAGTGCAGTTTTAGTCTACACAAGTGTTTATCCACACTCATGAAAGGTCACTGTGACCCTTGACCCTTGACCACTGAAATCAAATCAATCTTTGAGTTCTAATGACAACTGATCACACTTTGAAGAAATTCATTGACGGCAGATATGAGACATCATGTTCAAGAGCCCATAAAACATGTTTAAGAGTTTTTCAGTTACATCTGATCCTGATTTAAAGTGTCTGATTGAACTGTTCCAGTCTGTTTGTGACACCAGTTAAAGTCCAGTGTTAGCACAAACATGTTTTCTTGCTCATTTACGAATCCTGTGGCGTCACAGAGCCGAGAGTAAATGATAAGTGTTACAACAAACAGGACAGAGCAGCACTTTAACCTGCAGGGACCAGACAAACACCGTCGTATCTGACAGAGAGGAAACAGGTGAGAGGTGAGCTGCTCCATAACAACGTCACACATCTGGACCAAGAGCTTTTACAGCTGGATCATGATGTTTTTTGTTGTTGTTGAGAAACATCAGGTCTCATCAGTTGATCTTATCTGTGGATCATTTTAATTAATAACCCACAGAATAAAATAAATATAGATATAAAAGGAAATGCCATATATGATAAATAGATAATAAGCACACACTCCACCCTCAAGGACTGCAACAGCTTTATAAAAGAAATGATATCCACATATTCTCTCTTGTACATGAATCTGAAGTGACCGAGAGCTTGTGCAAGAGAGAAGAAGCTGAAAGTTTCTACAAACACCTAAAATCTCCCAAAGGCTAAATTAACAGAATTACCTACAATTAAACAAAATGAGGATGAGAAAGATGACTATTAAATTAAGGTAAAACCAGTAACTGTAATTAAAGAACGGTGAATGACTTTCTGAAGGATTTTACTGAGTAGTTTGTTCTTATATCATTCGTATCTTGATTTACAAAACACTGTGCAAATATGGCAAAACATTTTTTAATATTGACACATTGGATTTTCCATGGCATTTGAAAATGTTTGATTTGTTGAATGTTAAATAATAAAAAAATGTCTTTAATGGCTCATCCAGTGTTCACATTTGTGTTCTGAAATATACAAATCAGGTCTTTCATTAAATAAGGCATAATTTGCATAATTAAACATGAGATTTCAGTGATGAAATATGATGCCTCGTTTTCTTAAGTCTATTTTTTCTTTGCATTAACCAGCTCATCGAGTACGTCATATCACTAGAATAGAAACAGAGCAGAATATAAAGTGTTGCTGCTCTCTGTTGGCTGACCAAGTTCATGCTGCTGTTTAAATTCATTCAGTTTCATTCTCATACTTAAAAGTAAAAAATCTTAAAGTTGGTTTGACTCTTTTTCCAAATATGGAGATAAACTCTTCTTTGTTTATTTTGCTTTAAGTGGAGCAGCTTTAATACTGAATTTATACATAGTTATTCAGTAGTTGCCAAACTCAGGGTCGGGCCCCTCCAAAGGGTCAGAAGATAAATCACAGGGACCATGAAAAGAAATGAAAACAAATCTGTGACACATAAATGTGACGTCATTATCAAGACTGTGAAAATATTACAAAACATCATATTTGTACAATGATTTGTATTGTGTGTGTGTATTTCTATTCTTATGTGTAACATGTGTGACCACACGGTGTCGCTGCTTCACCTCTGAGGCTGAAGTGGGTCAAGTCAACGAGGGTGAGACAGATGGTGGAAAACTTGCCTTTCAAAGTAAGATCCATCAAAGTCAAACCATGTAATTCATTGCCACTGGATTTAAACTGTTCACATCAATCCAATGATGAAAATATTATAATATGTATTAAAACAAAGACACAAACCTAAATAAAACAGGATCCTTCAAAAAATAAAACACAGCAAGTAATGTAGTCCATCTGAAATCAAGACAACAAATAAAATAAAAGTGATAAAAGAAGAGAGAAAAAACACAAGTAATACCTAAAAACAATCAAATGGAAGCTATCTGAGTTTAGAGAGATGATTTAAAAAAAACAGAAAACAATGAAGGGAATCGAACACGTGGGAGAACACGACTACAAACATGTGAAATTAATGAATGTGCAATAACCATCACAATAATCTGTACACTCTGCACTTTAAACAAACATATCTACTCTGCAGTTTTATTACATTTTGTAAAGAATCACTATTTTCTATTTCTATATATTTCTATTTATTTTATAATAGTTGTATGCTGGGAGACTGAAACATCGTCACATGCTGTAAACTCTGTTTGTCTGCTGTGTCCATGACAATAAACATCTTGAGTCAATGATTTAAAAAAAAAAAAAAAAATGTCGGCTCTTATCCTGAAACTAGCCGGAAGCTGAGTGTGTGCCACAGTGAAGTTCCTCCCCCTCGGTTGAGAAAAGAGAAAGAAGACATGAAGCGTCTTCTTCTTCGGTTCTGTGTCGCTGAGCTGCAGCTGAGGAGACTCACAGCTTCAGACATGTCTGCAGGTTTGTTCTTCATCACGTCTCCACCATCATCTGCACATTGACCCACGTTTATCCTCCTGCACACGTGATTTCTCCTCCTCCTCCTCCTCCTCCTCCTCCTCCTCCTTCTTCTCCCTCTCCAGATTTCTGCGCTGGAGAATCATCGCATGAAAACACAAAGTGAAGAGAAGACCCGTTTCAGCAGGAGCCGCGGACATTTTTAATTCCACTGTTATTACCTCGCTCCTCGCTGTTAGCCTCGCGTGCTAACGACACCATGGCGTTTTTCGTGAAGAAGAAGAAGTTTAAGTTCCAGACTCATCTGACTCTGGAGGAACTGACCGCGGTGCCCTTTGTCAACGGGGTCCTCTTCTGCAAGCTGCGGCTGCTGGACGGAGACTTCGCCGCCACCTCTTCCAGGTAAAACAACGTTTAAATCAGCCCGAGGAGACGGTTCAAAGTCTCATGCTTTCACTTACTGTCCGTCGTTCCTCCGTCGAAGTCATTCTAGTTCACTCAATGTCTTTAATTGAGCTTGAAATCTTAATTTTTATTAGAGTTAAATACAGTTTTAAAGTTGTCTCTCGTGTGTTTGATTTCATACACAGAGATTCTTGCAGTGATTTCCTATGTTTCCATTCATTTGTTCAATCTCCCTTTAATGTTATAAAGATCTTAAATAGAATTAAGTCATTTTCTTTTGGAGAAATTTAAAGTTATGGTCGATTCTTAAAGTAGAGCCTGAAAGCTATGGAATAATACAATAATACACTTTTTATAGCAGTTTTCATCATGAACAACACAACGTACATGTGGGACAATGGGTGAAATAAAGCAGAACAAACACAGGAATATATTAATATAAACATCAATATAAACCCAGATTTAAAGCAATATTATTCAATACTATATTAATATTATATGATAAAAGTTACATAATCATAAGAGTTACATGGTGCTTCACAAAATACAGTAAAAGTGCAAAGTTAGCAGATGAGAGGATCAGATTTTACATTTTATCCCCTGACATAGAAAACCCGTCCTTTCCTTCCTAATTTCCCGGTGACGATGGTTTTGGATTCAGAGTCAGCAGCTAAACACAATCTGTTCCGATAGATCAGCAGATT